TGGTATAGATATCAAAATCGAGTAAAAGCTAAGCATAGATAATAAAAATATTGCACCATACTAAATATAATATGAGATTAAATATCGAGCGTTATTAGTATTAGCTATATTAAAAAGAAAAAAAAAGAAAAAGAACTCAAAGAAAATCTGTTTTTTTTATATTGTTTATTTTTGTCCAACTTTTAGAAAGGAGTTTTTAAGAAAACAGTTTCGATTTGAGTGTATTTACATGTTTCACGATGTCTAATTTTTAACAAATTGTGAACCAAATATTATTATTCATTTGTTAATGTATCTAAAGGCCATTTTTGTTTACTTCAAAGTATTTCTTCAATGAAAAAAAAAAACAGATTAACGTAACATTAAAAAGGCCGTTTCAGAACGCATTTACTTATACATCGCAAATTTTTCTATACGCCTTGAAATTCTCGCTTCAAACGAAATTTTCTCATAAAAAAAAGGTACAACAAAAAAAAGCTGTCTATTCAATCAAAATTTAATATTCCAATCACAATGGGTGAGCTAAATAAATTTTTGTTATTTTGATATTTTGAGCAAACTAAACGGTCACCGTAAGGCGTAAACCCATTATTATTTTTTAATAATTTAAATAGTTTTTTTAATAATAATATTATTAGTTATTTTAAAAATAATAGTTGTTAATAATTACGGCTAAAATAAAGCAAATTATAAGATATGTAATTGATTAAAAATTTTTTAGAATTTGCTATAACATACTAAATAGTAATAATATGCATCGATCAAAAAAGTACTAGATACACAATCAGCGACAAAAAATGTCCTCACCGAATGACCGCTCATTTGAACATTTAAGCGCACTTTTAATATAATTTTTTGTGAAAACAACTCTAAGCATTGCATTTAAGGTTCCATTTACATTGTTGTATATTTATTTCAACTAGAATAATGAAATAAACACAATTGGTGACAGTTTTAAGAGAACTTTTGCATGGGATTGTGCATCTAGTACTCTTTTGATCGATAAATATATCTGCATGTTTTTGACACTATATCTAACAAAAACTTTATAACGAAGATGACAATTCGTCGCCTTAGTACTTCTTATTTGTTCAAACGATCAGTACTTGTGGTACTTTACAGTTTAACTGCCTCAGTGGTGGTGGCTAGCATGTACGGCTGCACACCCGGATGTCGTGGGTTCGAGTCCCGGGTCGGGCCAAGTTTAGTAATTGAGTCTTTCTGTATATTAAGCCTCAGTAACAGCCCGGAGTTGGGTAGTTGGCGGTGTTTCACCCCCGTGCCTCGGAGAGCACGTAAAGCTTTTAAAGACATTTGCTGCCCCGCACAACCACTCTGTGGAACCAGCTATTGCCGGCGGTCTATCCGAACCGCTACGACCTGGCCACCTTCAAGAAGAGAGCGTATTCCTTCCTTAAAGGCCGGCAACGCATCTGCAAGCCCTGCGGTGTTGCAGATGTCCATGGGCGGCGGTGATCACTTTCCATCAGGTGAGCCTCCTGCCCGTTTGCCCCCTTAGTCCCATAAAAAAAAAGCCGTCGGTCCTGCGCCTTAACTGTCACTTGTCGTGTCGAGTGGTCGTCCCACCGGAGTATGTGAGTGACAGGAATAGAGTGTACTTGTGTCTGCGCGTACACTTGTGCACTATATTTGCTGCGCAGTTGGCTCGTCTCAATGAGATTGGTCGCCATGGTCGGAATCGGCCAGAAGAACATCATCATCATCCCTTTACAGTAGAGATTTTTTCCTCTATTTTACGTTTTATATATCACAGGGAAATTGTAAAATCTATTAATTTATAACCTATTTACATTACATATTATACAGAGGAAAAAATTGATTTTTTTGTTTGTTTGTATCGAACAGGCTCCGAAACTACTGAATTGATTTAGATGAAATTTGGTAAGAAGATAGTTTGAGATCCTGGAAAGGACGTAGGATAGTTTTTATACCGGGAATCATCCGTTAAGGGGGTGAAAATGGGGATGAAAGTTTGTATGGGGAATGGTAATGGGGAAGCTACCTAGATTATAATAAAATACCTAAAAATGTCCCGTGATATTGTAAGAAAAGGAGATGAATGACAATGCTCCGAGTAATTATAATTTACCGGATCTTACAACTTCCCTGCGACATACAGATATGTACATAGATAAAATATATTCATTCGGTTGTATTATGTAAAATGTGTATTTAATACCAATAGGATTGACATTTAAAATTCAATAATTCAGTACTAAAAACTCTTTGATAAATTGGTCGTTTGAACAAATAAGCACTGAGATGACTAAATACTTTTTAATTACATTTAAATGCAAAAATAATCATCACATTAATCCTAATATTACATTCAAAAAGTAATAATACTAGCTGGCAGTGTTCATAGTAATGAGTTTTTACATAGTATTACCACAGTATAAAAATTCATACAGTATCTCTTTTGATTTTAACAGAAATTCACTTAAATGTTAGGGTTTTCAAAAACATCCATTTTCATAGTTAATAGTTTAGACTTTAGTACGTAATGTAGTTCCAATTAAATACAAATAAAACCGTCGCCCGATTGTGATCTATACTTTGTTAATATTATAAAGAGACATTTTTTTTATATGTTTGTAATGGATAAATTAAAAATCCGCTGAACCGATTTAGATGAAATTTGATATGGAGATAGTTTGAGACCCCGGGAAGGACTTAGGATAGTTTTTATCCCGGAAATCATCGCTTCAGGGGGATGAAAGTTTGTATGGAGAATCAATCATTCCTCAAATATGGAATATTAAACCTATCATACCTATGTATAATATATAGTCTATCTGTTCCATACTAACCGTTTTAACGGTTTTTTACGGTTCGTTTTAACGTACCTAGTGACGAACCCGGGCGAAGCGAAGGTGAGTCGCTAGTAAAAAATATGTATGTATGTATATGTATGACAGTTGAGAGCACTTCACCCTGTCTATACTTTGCTAGACAACTGTATGGATTAGTTGACTGTGACATTACTGTGTATGAAAAATGTCTTTTACATTATAATTTAAAAAAAATTAACTATCACTTTTCATAGTACAGTTATTGTGATATTTTTTTTAATATTATTTATTATTAGTTGTTATATATAGAGACAATCTCTGTTTTTCTACAAATAATATTTACTCATGGCAGTGGTTAGTCATATATTACAGCATTAACGAACATAAATTAGAAAAAATTCAAAAATTTCTGAAACATCAATAAATATTATGAAAAATTTCTGAAATTTTTGAAATTAAATTAAGAAATTATTTTGCTAAAGTAACATATTATGGAGAAGAAAAGAAATTACAATTAAAAATCCTTTCACTTAAAATTATTAACTTAAACTATTCTACCACATATATTTATTTGGAAACATTAATAATATTACAAACTATTCATACAATGAAGTATACTTTTAAATCTAATAAGAAAAAGGGAATGTTATATTGAGATTACTACTTCTTTACAACTAAATGCATAATTTTTGAAAAAAAAAACTTTTCTACATTGTTTTCTTCCAAACAATTCTTATGATGACAAGCATTTCAGTCTTGCGTATAGCATTATAAAATGCTGACATTTTATATCACTACTTATTGTATTCAGCTCTTTTTAACGTCCCACTGCTGGGCACAGGCCTCCCTTCAATACGAGGGGGATCAGGCCATATCATACTTATATCGCATAATTATATGTATCTGAGCCATATATTCTTCGGCACAGGTTTAAAGTTCTTAATATATCTATATATCAGTCAAGCGTTCATGACGTCATTTTAAAATTAATATGATAATGTAGCGTTTCCATGATTATTATATACATTTAAAATATGCTAGAGAAACCAATATAGTTAAAATAAATAATAGAACAAGCAATTCAGCCCTTTTAACGTAACACTGCTGGGCATGGGCCTCCCTACAATACAAGTGGGAGCATGCCATAGCTCACCACGCAGGCCAAGTGCAGACGGACTTCACATGTTTATCATTTTAACTCTAAAAGATTAGCCATAATTAGCTTACTTATTACGTAAAAAGTAATATATTTACTGACCAAAAATATACAATTCACATTTGTTCGTAATATATATCGCAAAAAATATTTTGATTTAAAAAAATATGACTAAGTTGGTTTTTCTAGCCTAAATTATTTTTTTTTTACTTTTCACCATTGATATGTGACATATAAGAATTTTTATTGAAACAAATTAATAAAATATGAATATACATAATACGTATTTGCATACAATTTAAAGAAAGTTTGAAAATTAGTTCTGGAAGCTTCCATCAAAACCGGTAAGCCTTTACTCAAACTTTATTTACATATACATTTTTTATGTAAAATCATTATAAGTGCATACATATATTGCACTTTCCATATTTTTATATATCATATTATGTAATAGATTATAGTATGTTTAACAATAATAGCAAAATTCATTAAATTTTGATCATGGCACTACATTTCAAAAATTTTTACATCATCTTTATTAAAAGTCAGTTTTCATATTATGATTAAATATCTGTAATAAAAATCCCATAGTCGATCTCATTTTAGCACAATTTAGTTTAAATTTAAACTCAATAATAAACCACTAAATAAAGCTTTCTATTCAAGTATATTTCTAATAATAAAAAAAATGAATAAGATTTTTTTTGAATTTTACACAGCATCTTATATTACAAGTAATATAAATCAAAATAATTACCAAACAAGCCTCAATTCAAATTTTCCATCTAAACGGGTAGTTTTATATGCTGGCAACACTGACACAAAAACACTGACAGTCAAAGTTCAATGAACCTTCAATATATATTATCTCTATATTCCAGCACTAAACACATTTAATCACTGTTTCCAAGTATTCATGGCACATTTCACATATGTACAGTCTGCACCGCCGGGGCAGTGGGTTCGAGTCCCGGCTACAGCAGCGCGCGCCGACATTCGTCTCTGTAGGCGCCCGCTGATCCCCTATTTCATGTTTGCCATCTGGAAAAAAACGGATTACTGTTAAATGCTAATATAGTTTTTTTTTGGAAAATGAGGAATTTGAATATTTTTTGTCTATTTTGATTTATATTGTGTTATGGCAAATGATTTTTTGAGTGTATTTTACCGGTCGTAACCTAAATATTGCGGAAAGGCGAGACAGAGACAAAATTAAAGTGCGGCCAGAAGCCTTCTTTATTAATTGAAGTACGATTAATTCAAAGATTGATATTTATAACGATTTTTTTATCTCACTGTGTATCTTTTTACATTCCATTTATAGATTCAAATTGTAATAAAGGACAGGTATTGGCCGCATGTTAGCTTTGTCTCTTTCTAGAGAACATTTCATTTCCGAGAAATCTATACTAAACGTTAAAACGTAAGTAGGGACGAACCCGAGCGGAGCGAGGGTGAGTCGCTAGTATATTATGGACTTCTTACTCCATTGATAATTTTTACCCTATATCTATTTTTGTAGTAGTTTCAGCACCATGGGTTCTAAATCTTAAAGGATATACAATATAAAATTAAATAAATTATAATAAGGATTAATAATAAGGATTCAAAAAAAAATGAAAAACAAATGAAAAAATAAAGGAACATGGGTATTTTATCTTCAAATACATATTTTACCTTACATATATTTTACTTAGTCAAAAATATATTTTTCATCTATAATTAACTATTATTCTTATAAAACAAACATAACAGACTCACAAAAGAAAAGAAAACTACCAAAAATACCACATTACCTAGCCTTTTGCAACTCAATCTGTCCCTCCAAAGTCTTGGCAAGGTAAATAACGAACAGCTGTGATAGAGCAACGCCCAGCGCCACTGAGGCGATGGTATACAGGTTCCTTTCCGCCCACGATCTTACTATCTCTATACAACCGCTCGTCCATACACGCTTGCTTGCTTCTGCTACCTGGAAATTTGTATACATTGCATGTGTATAATATTACATAAATAAACTTGGTTGTTTCATATATTTTATAATATGCCATGGAATCCTATTATACTTTATTATAAAAGTGAAAGCCTTCAGCCTTCACCTTGTTGTGATAGGAGGGCTTATTAGCGTCCGGCAATTCAGCCGGGCGAGAAGCCAAGAAACGCTCAAGGAACGAAACGGAAGAAACGGCTCAAGGTGGCCCACTTCGGTGGGCGGTGTACTATGCGGGTTACTCCTGGTACTTCTCTGACAGCAGAGTGGACTGTGGAGCAACCCTATGGTTGTTGTGGTCTGCTTCGGCAGTCCTGCCGTCGGGGCCGAGTGGTTGAGTTCGTAAGCGATCCTGCGACGCCCCATTAAGACGGTGGAGGTTTTGTTGGGTTTTAGTTGGTGGTACTGATTTTTCTAGCCGGTGAGTCCCACATAACCACTTGTATGTATACAGGTGGTATGCGTAAATGCATTTCCCAATATAAAAAAAGGGAAAATTGCAGTCCCTATATGACTGTCATTTTTTTATGTATTGTAGTTGAAGTGAAGAGAATAGAATAGAATGTAAAGAAATAACAAAACATACATATTTTTATTTATAAAATTAACACATATTATAAAATTGTAGTTAAAACAACAAAATATTAAAAACATAATATTTTTTTTTGTTATATACTTTAATTTTTAATTTTAATAAGCTAACATATACCTACCTTAAGAATGTATAAACAGTGAAGACTTAATTGGTGTATGTAATTTTTTTATTTCTTTTGTTTATAATATGTAACATAATACTGTTCGTCTTCCAAATAAATAAATAAATAAATAAATAAATAAATAAATAAATAAATAAATAAATAAATAAATAAATAAATAAATAAATAAATAAATAAATAAATAAATAAATAAATAAATAAATAAATAAATAAATAAATAAATAAATAAATAAATAAATAAATAAATAAATAAATAAATAAATAAATAAATAAATAAATAAATAAATAAATAAATAAATAAATAAATAAATAAATAAATAAATAAATAAATAAATAAATAAATAAATAAATAAATAAATAAATAAATAAATATATCGAGTGATATTGTTAATTTTTTTTTCTTCAATTAAAGAAAATATTTTGTGAAGGTTCTTTATATTTTAAACACTTAAACGAAATAACTGAATATTGTTACATTGTTAGAATAATAGCATTGAAATTAAACTCAACGCCATCTAGCGGACGGTTGCAAAATTACATCAAACACATTAGAACAATATGGCGCCATCTAACAAGTGTTTGGTCAAGTCATCAAAACTTTTAAGCTTAAAATTTTAAGCTTCTTTTTAAATTAAAAATGTACACCAACTTAAAAATAACTCAACAAATGAACACCTTTAAAGATGGATCATACTAGATTTTTTTTATGGTACTATTTAGCTATAGCCTTTTTAAAAAAAATACTTTTCTTCTTAAATCTTTTCTTTCCTTCTCTTAGTATAGTATATAATATAAGTCACTTAAAGCTGACATTAGACGAATCGAAAGAAGTAATACTGCTTGAAAGTATGTATGTCAGGACATTAACATTAAAACACATCTAGTTCCATGGTAAGTTACGAGGCTTGTGTTATGGATACCAGATAGTTGATACACTACACAAATATAACTTAAAATACATACATATTATAAATATAAACACCTATGTATGTAACTAAACCATGTATGTTGGTTACATATAACTATAAAATAAAATACTCACAGGAAAGTTCTGGACGCCATAACCGCACATAATATTAACCAATCCCGAGCTTATATCGGTCGCGTTGATGCAACACGAGAACGGAACCCCACACTTCTCCACTGACGGCGACGAACAGTTGAAATATTCGTTTTTCGACCAATCCATGTAACCGTCTGACGTTAGGCCACAGCAATGGAACTGTAGTGAAAAAAAATATTTATTTATCTTATAATATTAAATCAGCAATTATTGTATAGATATAAATTTATTACGAGTATCTTGAAAACGGCTGTAACAATTTAGATAGAATTTTGTATTTAGATAATTACTTTATTAAGTTTATCTTATCTCCATACTATGCATAAGCATAGCCATTTAAAAAAGAAACATTTTTTAATTTTTTTGACGCCCATGTAGGTACTCATTATAACAATGTTTAAGAAAGCACAACCCTCCTTACTAGTTAAACAGTTAAAAAGTTGTAGGAAAAAAATATATAATGAACTACTATTATAAATGGGAAGGTTTGTATGTATGTATGTATGTATGTATGTTTGTTTGTTTGTTTGTTAACCTTTCATACTGACATCTGTCCAGCTGTGGACGGATTGTGATAAAATTAAGTACATCATAGACTATGAAATGGAGTAACACATGAATGATGGATGGATGGATTTGGTGGTGTTGGACGAGTGGTTGAGTGCGTAAGCGGCCCTGCGACGCCCCATTAAGACGGGGGAGGTTTTAGTGGATAGTACTGGTTTTGCCGGTGAGTCCCACACTTCGGGCCTAAATGCATTTCCCAACGTTAAAAAAATAAAAGGATTAAGGATGTACCCGAGCGAAGTGAGGGTAAATCGGTAGTATACATATAAAAATAAAAGAAAAATATAATAAAATTTTATCATATAAATAAGAAAGGCCGTGATTATAAAACTCACTTTAACCATATTGACATAATCAACTGCTCTGTTATAAATTTCAAGAAATTAATTAATAAAATAGTATAATCATTTTTATATTTTCATGTACTTTAAATTGTGTTTATAATATGTATATTTATATTTATGTCCTTTTTCATAGTTTTTGCTTAATTTAGCTTAATGTTTTGTACTCATGTTATGTGTTCTTATTTGTGGAAATTTAATCGGTAAATGTTTATTGTAAATTGTATGTTCTATAATACTGTTCGTTTCCCTAAAATAAAAATAAAATAAAAAACAAAATGTTGTTCCTTGAGCAGTGCATCACTTGAGAAGTCGTTCTCAAGTGATGGCACTTCGTGAATCGATTTAAGTAATTAAAAAAATTTTTTTTTGGAAAAGTTGCTTAAATATTGGAAAAAAACTAAAAAAAAATGCTTTTTATGTATGAACTCAAAAATCATAAGTTTTTAAATGAAACTTTCTTTTCGGATTTTTTCGTGGATTTATTTAGATTTTTTGTTCCCGGCGTGTCGAGAGAGAGATACAGTCTCTCTCGTGACCATGATTGCTGTAAATCATTCGAAACGTCGGGAAACAAAAATAAAAAAAAACCGCGATAAAATCAAAAAACATAGTTTTATTTAAAATGCCAAATATTCGCGTAAATCTAAGTGTTAAATAAATAAATTTATCGATATTTGGACAGGACGTCAGTCGGGGTCAGCTAATTTTAAATGAAACAAAAACCACTGCTGATAACACTATCTAAAAAAAGCACTTAAGGAGAGATTGCACTGTATGAAATAAATTTAAAATTATTTATGTTCTGTTGACCCAATTTCGATAATGGCTACCGTCTTTTTTTAACGGTCTCCTTGGTTTAGTAGCATTCACGAATGCAGATCCTAAGGTCTTGGGTTCAAATCATAGGTCGGGCTAAGTAAAAATCAATTAGTAGGTTTTTCTCCCAAACAATTCTTAGTATCAGGACAAATTGCCTTGAGTTGCACCTGCATTTGATCTCTACTGCGAGCAATGCCGGGAGTAAAGGCAAGCTATATCATAAAATTTTGTGTTTTATCCCATAATATACAGACAATGAAAGCGTACAAAATTAAAAGCTTAAATAAATTTTATCTTACTAATATTATAAACGTGAAAGTTTAGATGATTGGGTGGATGTTTGTTACTCAATCACGCCAGAACGGTTGAACGGATCTGGACGAAATTTGGCACAGAGATAGATTATAGTCTGGAATAGCACATAGACTACTTTTTATCCCGGAAAAATTTATGGTTCCCGTGGGATAGATTTGTTTTTGTTTTTCTCGAGGCGAACCCGAGCGAAGCTGGTGTGTCGCTAGTATTAATTACATAAATGATAGTACTCTAAGTATGACAGTAGTTGCAAAATAGTGGATAGGTGAACGAACTAAAAAAATATATAACATAAATTAATAATAAATATTAAAAAAAAAACAGAGAACTACTGTAAAAATCATAAGCAAAAACAATTAAAAAAAAAACAATTTTTAAATAAGCACATGCATGACACAAATAATCTTCAAACACCAATGAACAATCAAAAAGCGAACTCACCTAAAAACCCGCCGAAAACCAAAATGGCGGACCATAGCCCTTAAAACCCTAAAACCAAACCACTTACATCACTTTGAGCGTAATCAATGAAATTTTGCAAATCGGGGTCATCTCTGTACGCGTGAACCACTCGTTCTGTGAAACTTTGCTCCACAAATCCGTGAAGGGAGCGCGGGAAGACGAACCCGCACACCGCACCGCCCATTTCGACCAAAAATAGTATCAATAGGCATAGAGAATACTGGGAAACAAAAATAAATTTTAGAACACTTCTTCCAGCTCTCTTTCCAACTTCTTCTCATTATAATACGATCATGTTAACTTTTGACCGACTTTAAAAACTAGGTACTCAATTTCAGTGTAATATATTTTTTTAAATCTTTATTGCACACAAAATATAAAAACAAAGAGTACAGGTGTTGTTAGATAAAATATATATATTAAGCATGCCGACGCGATCTTATTTCTAAAAGCAGTCTCTACCAGTTTTGGGAATATTATGTGATTATCTGATAATTGTAAACCGATTTTAATTATTCTGTTTTTATATTATCGAATAGGAGGAAAAAGAAAAAATACACCCACAATTGTGGAATAATTACTATTAAAATTTAGAATTGAATTTTGGAATTCTTATGATTTTGAAGTCGGATATACATATCTTACAGAATAAATAAAAAGCATAACGTAACATACGAACTTTTTTTTCGTTATTACCGTTCAAAATATTAAAGCTTTTCATTAAAAGATGAGATACACAGGCGGACCGCGTATTAAGAAAGAGTGCTCCGTCTATATATATAGTTATGTTCTTTTGTCATGACAAAATCTATAAAACTTGAATTTCACATAAATATCCAATAAGGGAAAAGATACAATAAGTTATATGACTTACAAATTTAAGCAAACAGGTGTTCTCACGTAACGCCCCTATACATCCTGCGAAGCTGACCACAAACACCACGCCTCCCAGTAGCGCTATCAGCAGACTGATGTTCAACATGAGATCATACACTGTTTCCAGCTGGGAAAATAAAATAAATATTACCAATGTAATATTAATAAATAATTAATATTGTGTATAAGTTATCTATATATAAATAGGCAAAGCAATTTTCTTTTTTTTTTCTTGTTAGCTACTAGCGACTTACCATCCCTAGGTATGTTTTAATAAAATAAGCATCGTGGTTAAGTGACCAAGGCGCAAGATTGTCCGGAAGAAGTCCGGGGTCGAATCCAGTTAGGATACAAAGATTTTTGTGTTTTTTTTGTATTAATTCAAATTTTTAGTTTTTTTTAAAGGAAAATTGTATTTTTGGCCAAAAACTCGGTCGTCCAGGTACTTATAAAATAATTACTACTACTATTATAAAAGCGAAAATTTCTGTTTCTTAAATCTTCACACAAAAACGGCGGGGCAGATTTTGGTGAAATTGTGTACTAAATACTTACAACACTTAACACACTTGAATACAGAGTATGGCCTGAAGTAACAAGTAAGCTACTGTGAGGCACCTAAGCATGCATCCGAACGAAGCTAGGGTAAGTTACTAGTATTCTATAAAAAAATCACTCCATGTAATCAAAACACGACCTGAACGAGATGGTAAATTGAAATTATTTATTATTTTACATAATTTTCATTTTTATACATTATACACGTTTGGCTGACATGTTTGGCTCAGTTTGTAGTGACCCTACTTGCTATGCCAGCGGTCGCTGGTTCGAGTCCCGCTGGGAGCATTCATTTGTGTGATGAGCATGAATGTTTGTATTCCAGTCATGGATGTTTATATTTATAATATGTATGTATTTAAAGTTATATGATGTTCTCCTGACCGATTCCAGCCACGGCAGCCAATCTCATTGAGACTAGCCAACTGCACAGGAGATATTATAGTGCACAAGTGTACGCGCAAACACAAGTGCACTCTCTATTCCTGTCACTCTCATACTCCGGTGGGACGATTACTCGACACGACCGGTGAGAGTTAAGGCGCAGGACCGACGGCTTTACGTGCTCTCCGAGGCACGGTGGTGAAACACCGCCAACTTCCCAACTCCGGGCTGTTACTGAGGCTTACTATACAGAAAGACTCAATAACTAAACTTGGCCCGACCCGGGACTCGAACCCAGGACCTCCGGGTGTGCAGCCGTACATGCTAGCCACTACACCACCGAGGCAGTTAAAGTTATATATGTGTAGTGTGTAGTATATTAACTATCTGGTATCCATAGCACAAGCCTCGTAGCTTACCATGGAACTAGATGGTGCTGTGTGTTAATGTCACAATATATTTATTTATTATTTATAGGTAACTGTGTATCTTACCAATAAAACATGTAAAATTTTAGTAAACATATTATGTACAATGTACATAAAGCACTTCCTCTGATTACATTTATGTATGTGATACACTCTTCAAACTATGACACATCGATTAATGCTTGCAATGCTTATAAATAACTTGAATAATAGTTTACAAAGGCGAAAGACGTATTTGTAATATTTTGAATTACACTAAAATACTATTAAATAAAATATATATCCATCTTTTCTGATTTTTTTGGGGATTTATATAGATTTTTGGTTCCAGACATTTCGAATGCTTTACAGCAATCATGGTCACGGGAGAGATCATGTTCATAAAGCATTCTAAATTTGCAAAAGTGACCACTTTTGCCTTAAAAAAATTAAATATATTTTCTGAATATTTAAAATAAAAACATATTCATTTATGGCTAATGTCTGTGACTTTACCCGCGTGTTCATTTTGTTACTTCAATACCAATAGGTATATGATTCATCTTGCTTTGTATGAGTCTGAGTTTTCTACAAATACCAGACTTTTGTCTGCACCTTTTTAAAACTTTTTGTATTATTTTGAGTGATTTTTTTGTTATAATCTCGTGTGAAATTTGACTATTAAAGAATTTATAGATTTCTGTTTAAATGAGTTCTCATGGCTACTATTTGGAGCTTTAAAAGCTGTAGAACTGAGAGTTGGGTCTTGCCATGTTTGGATTGTACCATCTAAATTCATACAAACTTATTTCAAAACTAGCGACTATCCCTCCCTTAGCTTTTGCGCGTCTGTTTGTCCAGCTAACCTCAGAAACGGCTGGACAGGTGTTGATGAGACTTTCGCTGGCAGATAGTTGCTGTTATAACTGTTTAAGGAGTAACTTAGGCTACTTTTATTTTAGAAAAAGAATTAGAGCTCCGCTAAAAAAAATTCAAACGCACCTAAGGTTACACCCAAACAAAACAAAAGCAAAGGGTAAGTAGCTTGTAATAAATAAATAATTAGGTTTAATTTTATATAAAATAAAAAAGATAAAAATTCTAAAAACTATAGATTTGGCAACTGTGTCTATTATAATAACTATTTCAATAACATTTTCCAAAAAATATTTAATGTACAGATTCAACTCAGGTAGAATTTTATTATATGTATAGATTAGTAAATATCACAAAACATAATAATTTTAGAGTAGACATTGTTATCAAAATAATCATATAAAATTTATATTACCTTTATGAGACCTGTAGCTTGCCATTTGTCGATAAATGCATAAAGTCCCACACCTATCAGCAAGCCACCTAACAGCTGAAATAGATAAAAGAATTCTGCTTAATTAAAAAAAAATTTTTGATGATGATGCATTTTGCTACATATTAATAATAGTTATTTAGTACCAATTGTTTGTCATTTATAGAAAAATAGTGCATTCAGTATGTAGCAATAACTAAATGTTGGATAAGCAAAAGGTTTTCTATGGACGAAAGTTAAAAGTAATATAATTTTATTTAAGAATATACATAACATAGATAATATTTTAAACTATTAAACATTTATAAAATCTCCATATTAAAATAGGTTTTGACTATAAAATATGTAAACGATAAAGGCTGCAGTTTAGTATTGGGGACGCGGCCCCTGGCGGAGTAGTAGTTTTGGATAGGGCAGCTAATAGGGAGTCCAAATATATAAAAATTATTTTGAGGAAACAACAGAGTCAAAAGTTATTGAGACTTAAAGTTACAACATTTCCATACATTATTTTGACATTACTACCATTTAGACACTTGGAAATGTCAAAACGTCACTTTCAATTGTCAAAATGATCTCCAGATGATTATGTCTTTATTTGTACTTTGCGTGAAATTCGAATTTTCTAGTTTTCCAGTCATTTATGGCACTCGCCGGCCGCTACCGCGGCACGCTCGCTTGGCTCGTGCGTTATGGTAACTGTTCTAACCTAACCAAGATATGACGAATAATAAATAAATAATATTTTTCTATTTATTTATTTATTATATTTTTCTATTTATTTATGAAAATAATATTTTTCTATTTATTTATTTATTAATATTACCAACAGAAATGGCAAAAATAATCAAATATAATCTGTTGTCATTTAAGCGGTAATGTAAAACAAAGTGACAGTTTTGCTTTTGTCAAAATGTAAGATCATTTTGTTTGTGTTGTTGTGAAATTATTAAAATATTAAATACAATAAAGCATTAATTGTTGTGAAAATATGTATTGTACATAAAAAAGGATGCATACTATTCCTTAAAGGTATGTTTATCTGTTGTAATCACTTATTTAGGTAAAGAAATGTATGGAAATGTGTTAGATATGTTATAACTTTAAGTCTCAATAACTTTTTACTCGTACGTTTCCTCAAAATATTAATATATTTTGACTCTCTGTCACCTCCCCTATCTAAAAATACCACCCACTCCGAATGGTGGTAAAGAAATGTATGAAAATGTATGGAAATGTTGTAATTTTAAGTCTCAATAACTTTAGACTCTTTTGTTTCCTTATAATAATTTTTATATATTTGGACTCCCTATCACATCCCCTATCCAGAAATATCACCCACTCCGTCAGGGGCCGCGTCCCTAATACTAAACTTGTGCCACGATAAAATTAAAAAGTATTTAGTTCTTAAACAAAGCTTCGAAAGAATATCTGTCGCACCACATATACTTTTTATAATTGTAACTGTTAGGCTTTATAATCAGTTAAACTAACAAAACAAATTAGGAGTGAAATAGGTAATTTAGTCATTTTGTAGCGGAAACGGCTAGACAGATGACAATACTTTTATATATATGTACATTCTAATATGTGCATAATCTACAATCTTCCCACATTAACGCTGAAACAATGCTGTGATTCACCCACAACAATGAGTGAAAATTAAAACATTCATACAATGGACTTACAAAAATAACGTACAATATAATAAGTTATTTTTGCATAGATAGTAATAAATAAAAATTAAGTAACTCACCCAAAAAATAAAATTCAAAACAAAAATCATATATTTCACACAGCCACTAACATATGTAAAATTTGGTCCTCTGCGGCGATGCATTTTGGCTTAAATTCCCATAAAACCTAATTAATATATAAAGAGGTATATTATAATTAAACGACTAGATGCTAATGGTTTTATAAAAGAAAAACACAGCCAAAACCAACTATGAGTAATTCACGAAACATTTATCCGTCTATCACCCGTCAATTTCAAGCATAGACTAAAAAAAGAAAGATCAAAGATGTATGATCAGGGCTGCCAGATAACAGTCGTTGAATTACCCGACCAATAAACCTCAAAATACCCGGTTTATCCCGCCGGCACGGTGCCAACCATGGCAGAATATATATAATTCCCGAAAATAGTTTTTCAAGCAATTTATTTATGTTTTATATAGGATAAAATAAGGGAATAATGTTAGAAAAAGAAGTCATCGTAATCAGTCCTCAATTAAACAATTTTAAATGATTAAATCAAACATAAAAAAAACTTAAAATATCAAATTAATCAGTTACTAAAATACCTGCTTTGACCCCGCTCAATGCAAATATCCGTCAAAATTACCCGCCATCAAAAATCGCCTAAAATTACCCGCTTTTTGGGTAATTTACCCACCAATTGGCAGCCCCGTGTATGATGTATAGATTCACACTACAGATTAATAATTATTATAACATTATACACCGACACGGGCCGTTTGTACAGAATACTCAGCCCAATAAAAAAGTATAGACAGAGAATTGCGCACAAACAGTGATGCAGTAATATGAAGACGATGCAGCCATATGAAGACGCTCTATAAAGAATATTCAAAATCAAGTTATCTAATTATAATATGATTGAGGCAATACTTTTTTTTATATATTCTTAACAAGACGAAATTTTATAAGTAGCTTATTAATTCATAGTAGTTTTTTTGAGTTATTTACACGTTAATATAAAACAATAAAATTACACACAATTAAAGCATTATTTATTTTTATTTATTAAGATAATATACATTTGATTAAAATGTTATAGACAATTATTAACGATTTAATTTGGGGAATCCCCAGAGCAAATCCTTTGATGTAGTTCTATTAGCTACCATTAGATGGCGCTAATATCATTATTTTAGTGATATATCTCTATCTTCATTCTTCAGTATTTCTAAATTCTACGCGACATTGGCGAAGTAAATGGTGCCCAAGCGGCACTCCTAGAAGTCATTGAACATAAGAATTGAATTGAATCGAATTCTTCAGTACATTTTGTTAGTTGTTACGACGTACAGACTGCATGCAGTGTTCATTGAGTCACTTAAACATACTGAGAATGGTAAAGAAGTGAACTTACTCGCATCCGCGTCTGGTTGTACAGCTACCTAGTATCGGTACATCTCAGGACTCAGACGGTCAAACCATTGATAAACGTAGGGTTGATCAACCGCAAAAATCTTACGAATGCTTCAAATTATAAAATTATTACTAAAGAATCAAATACCACAGATTTAATCCCTACCTTTGTGGCACGCCGCACAAAGTCAAAATAAGAATTTAAGAATTTCTAACAAAACAAAAACTTTTCTTTGTATATATAATTTATTTAAACATATTATTAATTTTTTGACATACCTATCTTTTTTGTCCCCCGGGATGTTGGGTACCAGGCATATAATTTTCGGATAATCGTAAAGATGAAATCTTAATAGTTTTGGCCCATAAATAATAATTTATGTTTTTTCCTTATTCTTTATTTCCTTTTACTTTTCTTTTAATGGTAGCTTGGGTTTTTTATCTTCGTCTTTTTCTCGTTATTTGGTTTTCATAGAGCGCGTTAGTAATGGATAATTCACTTTTAGGAACATAGCATTTTAGGGCCGTTAAAAACATGCCAAAGGAAAAAAATCTCTTCGTATATTTATATATATATATAATTTTCTCTATCGTTATATTTTTTTTTCTTTAAACGTTATTGTTTTTGTATATTTTTGTTTAGGTAACTATTATCCGCTTACATAAGATATTGAACGTTACATAATATGTTTGAGATTTCCAATACTTAAAGATAATGTTGAAGTTATTGATATAACTAGCCGCGTTGCCGATAGGATTTTTCATCATGAAACAAATCTAGGTTTTTCCATATAAGTAGACAAACGACTTATCCTCGATTCTCTTGAGTGCGTCCCTAGGTACCTACGCGGGTTTTGTTCACATTTTCATGGGTTTTAATTTTTTAGCGCCGAACCCTAATTATTAAAAAAAGTAGCCGAGTTTAGCTGTTACCATGATGCGCCGGCGTTCGACAGAACTTGAACGTGTGCTTTAATTTGTATCGGCTTGCACCGACTTCGAAAATATCTAATAAGGTATCTATTATAAATGAAAACTCCCGTTTAGTTATTTTTTACTTTTTAGTGCCTGGAAGTCGGATTTATTTTAGTTTTTAGTTTTCTCATTTTCACAACAAAAAGTAGCATATGTTTACCTCCAAGGTCCAACCTATTTTCTATACTAACATACGTCACAATTAGTCAGCAATTTAGCTACGAAAAGTAAAACAAAAATAAACAAACAGTCACATTCGCATTTATAAAATGAGTATGGATGCTCCTAAAATTTTATCATGTTTTGTAAGATTAAAAGTCATACGTTACGATTGACGACTTATATCATCGCCTATAGCTCTTTTAACAAATAAATATTTAGAACTAATATGATATTAGCCTTTGCCTGTGTCTTCGCTTGGCTATAAATATTTTTTCAATTCGCAATTACTAAGCATGCCTGAAATAACAAAACGAATCATTGCTATGTATATTCTAATTATACTTGGAACGAATAGTGTATTCGGCCATACGCCGAATACCGAATATTCGGTCGGCTTTCTGGCCGAATTGCCGAATATTAGGCAAAAGTATCTACGTGTTTGTTTCTTGTTTGGCACCAGGAAGTAGTATTTATTCAGAGCGTCTTTTCTCTGAATCTGATATTGTCTAGGAGTAAACTGCTGCCTGAAGATGCCGAAAAATCTCTTTTAAATTTTAATTATGATAATGCAAGTGCATAGACATTTAATTGATAGTTTTTTTGTTAATTTTTGTAATAAAGAAGGTGATTATGTACCTATGACTTTAATGATTATAAGAAAAATATATTATTATAAAATAAATCAATATTTTCATTTTACCAATAGGAAATATGCATGATTTTTTTTAGTTTCTTATATAATGTCTTACATCGTTATATAATTATAAAAAATAATATATCCAGCTCCAAAAAAAGTAAAATTTTGTATAAAATATTTTTTTAAATATTATACTGTTAGCATATTCTGTGCGACAAATGGCGTGCGGCATCAAGAAGAAATTACATTAAAAATATTATTACAGGCTTAATTCAAAAGCAATAAAGATTATAAAAAAAAAATATTTCAACTTTTTTTAATAGTAAGGAAATAAAAATTTTAGTAGAGTATATTAATGTAATCAAAAAGTAAAAGTTACGAAAAGTTGGTATCCGACAGTTAAGTAGGGATGTGTAGTAAAAATTTCATTATAAATTAGATATTATCCATACTTATATATACTTATTAACATTATAAATATGAAAGTGCGTTTGTTTGTTTGTTTGTTTGTTTGTCCTTCTTTCACGTCGAAACACAGTGACGGATTGGCGTGATTTTTTGTGTGGAGATAGTTGAAACGCTGGAGAGTGACATAGGCCCGTTTTTTCCCCGAGAGATTATCTTATTCCCACGGGAAAATACGTTAAAAGACAACCCAAAAAAATATTTATGGTCAGAATTAATTGACACATAGTATTAATGCTCTTCAATTCAATGAAATAAATACGTGTTTTAGCATTATTCGAAATTCATCCCATAAAGGAGTAAATAGGGGATGAAAGTTTGTATGAAACCTACCTTTTTAGAGTTTTTTTTTTAGTTTAGCGTAAGCGAAGCCGCGGGTTCTGATAGTAATTTTTATATTTTCAATCATGTAACAGACTGACATATATATATTCTCTCCTTTATATATAGATGAAATTAATATACTATCGCTTATCTTATATCTAGTCCCCCTCTGTTAGATTATCTCCTTTGAGTGGTTTACCTTTTGTATATATAAAAAAGTTCTGAAAATCTGGAATGCCACTATTGTCGACCTCCACCAATAATGAAGCTCTTTTTGGTGTTAGGGTGAGTAATATATTATTTTATTTTACTATGATAAGTATTCTAAATACGAAAAGGTAAAAAACATAGAAGAATAAAAATTGAAAAGTGCTTATTAAAAATTAAACTTAATTTTGAGTTTTAAATAATAAATAATATAGGTATCAAAAAAATATCTGCATTATAAATACTAACATTATAAATATATTTTTTTATATTATAACTATATACGTATGTACTATTTGAGTGTTTGCTTAAAACAAAAAATCTTGCTTTAAACCTGATTTGAACTCTATGCACATAAACCTGTACATATATCCCTACATAAGGCTTTAAAATTCTACGGGCCTTTTTTTGTTTAAGCCATAGTTACAAGCCAAAGAAACATTTGGTTCTCCCTCAACATCCTCCTCTCCCTTCCAGCTTTTGATGTCGGAAAATTCTAAAAACGTTATTACTGTAATAAAAAAGTTATAACTGAACTTCCAGAAGTTCCGTTTTAGCCTTTTAATTAACTACGGAGCCCTAAAAGTAGCCTCTGTCGCTCATTGTTCTGCTGATAAATTGTAGGGAGAAATAAACAAACCAACAAACTCTATCGATCGATCTAGATAACGCTATATTTACAAATAAAAACTTCCTCCTTCTGATTTGTACGCGTCGGGTTTGCTTTTGTACCTACTATATTAAAACATGACCCACTACGACCCAATGGCAGAAATGTGACGTCCTTACAACATTATTATCAGCCTATATAAATAAAGTAATACGCATTTCAAGCATGTTATTCAATTACAACAATTAAACTATCTTTATAAATTACCACTTATCTAAATATTATGCTGTTTTAAGGTTCTGTATATTAGTAGTAGAGAAATAACGATTTATTTAAAACGCAATTTTATCGAGATTAGAATTAACTATATAAAAAAATGAGGTGTCTGCTGCCTTCTTAAATGATTGTAATAGATAATAAGTTGCTAGTAAAATAATCTTTTAAATTAGCAGTTTTTGTATATCCTATAGGTATAAATTTATTTTGTGTATCTCAGAAACGGCTCTATCGATTTGGATGAAATTTTGTATTTAGAGAAGGTTTTGCTTTATGTTTATGTATATAGGTGTATTTTCTGAAAAACGCTATTTTTCACCAAAACAAAAAACAAACCGTCGAGAGAAGGTCGGTCGCCCAGGTACTAATAATAACAATTTATGTGTGAATGATCGTCACATCACGTCATAATAGGTGAATATAGCGTTCGTAGAAAAAATATATAAAATAGAATAATTTTAAATTAATTCTGATATGGTTTGAATAATAACAATAATAATATTTAAAAACTTATCGATAGATTTTTGCGCTTAGGTACTTAATATTCCTGCATCTCATGTCTGCGAATTCATATCAATTGGAATATTTGAATTGAATACTTTTACTGTCTTTTCACTTCTCTTATTTATAAATATGTATAACGAAATTAAATTCTCCAGAATATTGGAGAGTAGCCACGCACCTTGGAGATATTATAGTGGCGAAGAGATTGGGCACAAAATCAATAACTTTACATGGTCTTGATCCATGGAGGTGCAACACTACCAACTTATAACATGCAACTAATTAAAAAGTAAAAATATATTATTATTAATTCTTTGTTTGCAGTTTGATAATAGCCAGCAGTCATGCTGAGAGGCGGTTTCCAGATGACTTCCTGTTCGGTACTGCTACAGCAGCTTATCAAATAGAAGGAGGATGGAATGCTGACGGTAATATTACTTTTTAACTAAAAAGTTTCAACAACTTCAATATGACCTCAACAGTCATTTTTAGGAATAAAGTTTGGCGTGAACTCCTTTCAGGAAATTTATATTGCCCATCCTTCGAGTACAATCGAAAAAAAAAACATCGAAATTGATAAAAAAAGCACAAAAACAATTTTTTCTCAATCTTACCTCATTACCTCCTTTAAAATCGGTTAGAATATATAATATTTCAATTATTCAAAATAAAAACGTCGTAGTTAAACTTCTGAACGATACAATTACACCACTGAAGGCGTTGGTTTAAAATTTGGTAGAGCAAAAAAGTTAGGGCCTTAGATTTGCTTCTCTCTTTCCTACCGTTGACTCTATTTTAGTAGATAATCACTACATACTACTATCACGATGAGTTAAGGTTTCTCGAGCTAATATCAGAAAGTATTGCAACGATTTTACTATGATTTTTACTAATAAAAAGATAAATTTCAATTAAGAAGGGTTTAGCTTATAAATACGAGAGCATAAGCTCTCATAATAATGTAAATTCGAAGGTTATCAAGGGACACTGTTACTTATTGTTAGTATTAGAATGTTTCAGCTGATGTCTTTCTTATATCTAACAATTTAACGTTTAGTATAGATTTCTCAGAGATGAAATATTTTCCGGCAGTAAAAAGTATCCTATATGTTGACTCGGATAACCAGCTACCATCATACTAAATTTCATCAAAATCCCTACAGTGGTTTTTCCGTGATACGGTAACAGACAGACGGACAAAAATTCTAAAAACTATAGATTCGGCCTCTGTATCGATAATAATGTTTATTTCAATAAGATTTTCCAAAAACTATTTAATGTACAGATTCGGCTTAGTTACAATTTTATTACGAGTATATGTATAGATTTAAATTATCTTATCTCGTCTCATCTGTAGGTATCCAGTTCTATCCAAACTTAAATCTATTAGTATATCTTATCAAGGGTTTTTTTGGTATTGTTTTGAGATAAATTGACAAATTGACTCTAAACAAAACACCTTCTCTCGATAAGATATGGCGTTGCTGAAAACATAGTATCTTTAACTTCAAAAGAATTGATAAACCGTAGAACACTTATTGAATATTTGACATAACATCTTTATCTATGAACTGATGATCACTGCTAAAACTAATATACAATGAGAGGTCCTTACAGTGTTAAAAAAAGGCAAGAACTTATAACATTACCTTGAATGATATAAAAGTAGTTTAGTTTTGTGGTATAAAATCTCAGAAATCAAAATAATATAACCAACTTGAAAAAGAAGCCTCTCAAGCGTTATTCTCGTCAACGGCTACTTATCTTCTTTCTATACATAGAAGCGAAATAATAGAAAGTATATATGCTACAAACTTGATTTTTTACTCCCTATAGGGAATAGGTATCTATTAAGGAAAGAGTTTGAAAACTTAACCCTAAAGGATAGAGAAGGAATGGGAAACTAACAAGAAAATATGTACATTTTTTAAGCCACGTAAGCCACGGTCAAATGCTAGTGTACAATAAATAGACGTTTATTTTGAGAAAAATCACGTATTATGATAGAATGGATTCTAATAAACTATTGACAGTAAAAATTGACCCGTTATTTTTAAAACGATATTATGTAACCATATTGTGTATAATAACTAATATCTGTACTCTAATATCTTTAAATTTCTTTTTTTTAGGTAAAGGTGAAAACATTTGGGACCGCTTGACTCATACTAAGCCCCATATAATCACAGATATAAGTAACGGAGATGAAGCAGCTGACACATATAACAATTACAAGCGAGATGTTGAGATGATGAGAGAACTTGGCTTAGACGCATACCGGTTCTCATTATCCTGGGCCAGAATCCTTCCTAATGGACTGGCAAATGAAGTTAACGAGGCTGGCGTTGCTTTCTATAACAACTATATCGACGAAATGTTAAAATATAACATTACACCAATGGTTACTTTATATCATTGGGATTTACCTCAAAAACTGCAAGACCTAGGAGGATTTATAAACCCATTATTCCCCGAATGGTTTGAAGATTACGCTCGTGTCGTATACGAAAATTTCGGAGATAGAGTCAAGCACTGGATTACATTTAATGAACCAAGAGAAATATGTTACGAAGGTTATGGATGGGATACTAAAGCCCCTATCGTAAACGCAACGGATGTCGGGACCTATTATTGTGCCAAAAGTCTAGTACTGGCGCATGCGAGGGCATACCACGCGTATGTAAATGACTTCAAGACAAGTCAAGGTGGTGTTTGTGGTATTACAATTAGTGTTAATTGGTTTGGACCTTTGACTGATTCTGAAGAAGACGAGCAAGCTGCTGAAATATGTAGGCAAGCTGAGGTAAGATTAACTACTCTTAAATCTTAATCGCTGTTTCTATAAAATTATTAACTTAACAAATTATTAAAATGTTATTTTCATTAAATTACAGTGGGGTCTGTATGCTGAACCTATTTTCTCAGAACACGGAGGTTTCCCCAAAGAATTTTCAGAAATAGTAGCACAAAAGAGTTTTGAACAAGGCTACCCAAGGTCTCGCATGCCAGAATTTACAGATGAAGAGAGGAAATTTGCGCGAGGAGCTTATGACTTTTTCGGTGTAAACCATTACTCTAGCACTCTCATATCGGCTACTTCCTACAAGGAAGAATATCCTATTCCTTCCTTGTACGCCGATGCTGATGTTGGAAGATACGTTCCTCCAGAATGGCCACAATCTGCCTCCAAATGGCTAATAGTAAGTTTTTAATAATTTTTGTCTATGGCTCTGCTCGCATAATACATTTACGTATATTTTATGTATACTTAATTATTTTGCTTTTAAAGGTCGTAGCTTGATGTTATATTATCTATGAACGTGTTCCATAAAACGTTATTAAATATAACTTTTTATGGGGCAAAAAAATGTTTTATGTAAAAAGATGTAATTTTTTTAATCAAAACCGGCCTAATAGTTCCAGAGATTAAGAAAAACAAACATTCAGAAAAGTAAACAAACTCTACGGCTTCACAATCATAGTACTTTACAATAATGGATAGTTATTGTTTAACATATTCTGACACAGTAATTGAAAAACATTTAGTTTTTTTCTAGTATTTAAATAATAATTATTTAAATATAATTCTAGTATTTAAATATACGGTAAAACTAATAGTATTCATATTATAGTCGTTGTATGGTTACATATGTTATATTTTGCCTAAAAACCTTCCTTCCATCTTGCAAACGGTGAATATTGTTATATTTAAATATCTTCTTTTAACAACACAGGACTTCAATTTCAATTTTAAAGTACTACACACTCATAACTTAATACACATAGCACATACATGTGTTATTTATGCAATATTGTAAACAAATATTATTTTAAAAAAGCAACTGTTGAGTTTTTCGCCGGCTCTGTTCAGCAAAACTGTCAGCAACAGCCGGTGGTAGATTACTCACGGACTTAAATATAATTAAAAATACCAAAAGAAACTATTCAAAGGTGCTTCTAAGAGCTTATTTCGATAAAGTATTTGATTTGATACCTGCCTGACCGCTACGACAAGTAAATTTCTACAATCGATGTAGCTAATAAAAACTAAAAAATATTATCAGAATGGCAGTGATAGTGACCTGGCATTTCAGGATTAAGTTCTCTTTTTTTTCTTAATGATATATTAGGTGTTAAGGTTCAGAAATGATGAGACCGACTGAAATGTAGAACTGCTTTGGCTACGATTTGGGAGAAAAAGTCGTACGATAAAAACCTCACACAATAAAATAAGAAAACGTTATTTCTAGTACGAATATCCTATCTAATACTAGTATCTGAGTCCTTTTAGTAAAAGAACTGTATATTGTAATTTATGGATGAAATAAATAAATAAAATTCAAAATTTTTCAGCAAGCACCAAACAGCGTTTACAACGCTTTAACTTTCTTGATGAAGAGATACAATAACCCTATAATCTACATCACGGAAAATGGCTGGTCTAGCCCACCTGAAAATGGATTGTTGGATGATGACAGAATTGGATATTATAGGGCAGCTTTGAACAGTGCTTTGGATACTATCGAAGCTGGCGTCAATCTCAAAGGTTATATGGCATGGAGCTTAATGGACAACTTCGAATGGAACGAGGGATACACGTAAGTAACTTAATCGTAAAATCTATGTCAGAAAATTATTTGTAAGTCTTAAAAAGTATCAAATAGTTCTCAAATTTTGGCCGAATAGACCGATCTTCAGAAGATGAATGGTAGATGATACAGGAATCAACTCGACGCTGATTGCTCAAGATCAATTAACGTAGTTACTGGAGTCTAGATTCCAGGTCGAGGTCAAGAATAGGAGAAGAATGGTCTAGTCAGTAGTTTTTCGACTGAGATGACCTAATCAGTCGTGTTTATTTTGCTTTAAGTACGTTCATTTGATCTTGTGCCCTGAATAATGTAGACATAGTGCCGGAAATTCTACTATAAACATCTAAATTCTTATGATTTGTCAAACTTCGACCACCGTTTATTGGACGTTACATAATATATGGTTTTCTTTTTAACTTATAGTTCTTTATAACACTGAAGAAGTATCGTGCCAGCATTATATTGACTGCACAAATTCCTTATTGTTGTTCTAAATATTTTCTTACCTAAGTTTATTTTTGCAAAACAAGATGATCTCACTTTATGGAAGTATCTCATAAAATGTAGTTGGAATATACTGTTCGCTTTCATTGTTTTCGAATTATCCAATTTAAGATATAATTTTATCATTATTAGGTATCATCAGGGGCATATCTTAATTAACTTTTATTACATGCATAACAATTTCCTAGTAATAGTTTATTTAAACTCTATCTAATTGCTATATTATTAGTCGTAAGTGTAAGTCAGGTTATCATGTTTAGGCATGAAAACAACAAACAAACAGATGGACAGACAGAGCTATTTTCGCATTTATAATAATAGTATAGATGGACTGGACTTTCTTTCAAGTAAATATAGCAATGTAGGTTTTTGTATTTTGATTTAGTCACAACAAAATAAATATTGCGTCAACTTAGTGCTTTTTAAATTAAATTTGTTAAATGTTACTAATTTATAAAATTCTTACACTGATGTCGAGTGATACGCAGGTTTAGCTTCGCTAGATGTTAGCATACGCCGATAATCCAACTCAAAGATCAGTTTTATCCGATTTCAGTTAAAGTTATTATAATTTCTGACAATAGATACGTCTTTGTCTTTATAACACTCTACGGTAATATACTCGTAGCTTCCTATTAGTGAAAGAACTTTCAGAATTGGATCAGTAGTTTCAGAGATTACCACACACATACAAACTTACAAAGATCTTTTTATAATATTAGTGTAGATAGGTTACTATAACAGAAAATACAATGAGGCTCTATAGATATTTAATAATCTATAAATATTAACCTTTTTTCCAGGGAACGTTTTGGCTTATATCAAGTAGACTTCGAGAGCCCTGAAAAGACACGTACACCAAAAAAGTCAGCATTTGTTTACAAGGAAATTATCAAAAGTCGTGTGATCGACCCGAACTATGAACCCACTACCCTTGAAATGTGGATTGATGAAGGACATTAAACTTAAGAATATTTAAATATTTAATTTATTTATTATTGTATTGTTGGTTATTAAATGTTTTTAACACGAGTTTATGGTTTATGTGCATTATTCGCTTCGCTACTATTTATTATTTAAACAAATATTAATTGTTACACACCACTATCCTTCGGGTAACTTTTCCTATTTTTCCCCTAAAAACCTTATTCAAATTATTACAAATATTTAAAAAAAATACCAAATCGGTCCAACCGTTTTTAAGTTTTGCGCTTACCAAGGAACAGCATTTCATTTTTAATTATGTAGATAATAATAATTTCCCTAAACGGTCTTTTTTTGTATTGCAATACTATAATATTTGAAAGTTACGTCAACCTTAGGCTAGAATATTTGTTAACCCGTTAAAAATACCAAGTACCTACGCGACCAATGAAAGCGCTAGCTTCAAGAGAAATATAAAATATGCAAAAAATAAAAAATATATATTACATGTTCTACCTTTGTTCCCACACACGCCTTCCAGGTAAACAATGAGTTAAAAAAGCAAAGGTTTTTTTATATTGCAACACTTAATATTTGAAAGTTACGTCAACCTTAGGCTAGAATGTTTGTTAACCCGTTAAAGATACCAAGTACTTATACGACCAATAGAAGCTCTAGCTTCAAGAAAAATATATACCTAATATGCAAAAAATCCACAGATCTCGTATCTGCCACGAACTCAGAGTACATTGAAAATGAACTGAATTAAATTTTTCCCATATTAATTACTAGCAGAATAACCGATTTTGCCCGCGTTCAGACTACAAAAAAGTATTTGGATGCATAAAGATATTATCTATACATACCAAAAAAAATCTAAAAATTGAGTCAGGGGGTTGTAAGAAGAGAAATAGAACAAATCCAGATTTATTCATTTTTTTTGTATCTCTGTTTGTCTGTTTGTACGAGCTAATCTCCGAAACTGTTAAACCGATTTAAATGAAATTTTGCATGGTGGTACCTTATATCCTCATGCAACATCTAAGATACTTTTCATCACGGAAAATTAAAGAGTTCCCGTGGGATAATTAAAAAACTATAGAAACTTATACAGCTTAGTACACAAAAACTACTAAATGGATTTTAATGAACATTAACAATAATATAGTGCATAAATCACAATAACAAATAGGCTACATTTTATCCCGGAAAAATGAACGATTCCCGTGGGATAGGTTCATTTTTATTTGTCTAGAAACCCGAGTGAAGCGAGGCTGTGCCGCTAGTAACTAATATATAATTTGATGGATGAAAGAGAAGAGAAGAGACATTAAAATAAACACAGAAGACAGGCGAAAATTCGAAGAAGACACTCCTGATAAACTAACTAGCAGTTAATCAAACCAACAGTTAAACTAACTTTTTTTTTAACGTTGGGAAATGCATTTATGCCCGAGGTGTGGGACTCACCGGCAAAGCCAGTACTACCCACTAAAACCCAACAAAGCCTTCCCCCGTCTTAATGGGGCGTCGCAGGATCGCTTACGCATTCAACTACGACGCCCCGACGGCAGGTCTGCCGAAGCAGACCACAACGACCATGGGGTTGCTCCAAAGTCCACTCTGCTATCAGAGAAGTACCAGGAGCAACCCGCATGGTACACCGCCCTCCGAAGAGGGCCACCTCCCACCGCCCACCGAATTGGGCCACCTCCCTGTGCGTTTCTTGGCTTCGCGCCCGATTGGGTTGCCGGGCACTACTGAGCCCCCCCACCACGACAAGGTGAACGCACGTTGGGGGGGAACAGTTAAACTAACTATCAGCTTACCAAACTAACAGTTAAACTAACTGGCAGTTAATCAAATTAAGAGTTAAACTAACTGACAGCTAAGCTAACCGATAGTTAAACTAACTGACAGTTAAACTAACTAGCCGTTAATCTAACTTACTGTTAATCTAACTGACAGTTAAACTAATTGACAGTTAAAATTACTGACAGTTAAACTTACTGATAGTTAAACTAACTTACAGTTAAATTATCTTACAGTTAATCTTACTAGCCGTTATCAAACTGACAGTTAATCTACCTGATAGTTAACGTTACTAACAGAAAATCAAACTAACAGTTAAACTTACTTACTAATAGTTAAATTAACTGACAATTAAACAAACAGACAGTTACACTAACTAACAGTTTAACTTACTGGCAGTTAAATTAATTGACAGTTAAACTTACTAGCTGTTAATAAAACTGACAGTCTAACTGACAGCAATGCTAACTGATTAAAGATACTACCAGTTAAACTAACGGACAGTAAAACTAACTAGCCATTAATCTAACTGACAGTTAATCTAACTGAGAGTTAATCTAACTGACAGTTAATCTTACTGACAGTTAACCTTTCTGACAATAAATCAAACTGGCAGTAAATCAAACTGACGGTTAAACTTACTGACAGTTAAAAAAACTGACAGTTAAGCTTACTGACAGTTAAATTAACTGACACTGACACACACACAGTTAAACTAACTGACAGTTAAAATAAATACACCATCAGCGACAAAAAATGAAATACAAACTCTGTGAAAATTTCAACTTTCTACGTATTATGATTCATGAGTTACAGCTCGCTGACAGACGGACGGACGGACGGACAGCGGAGGCATAGTAATAGTTTTCCGTTAGTACGGAACCCTAAAAAGATTTAGACACTTCGATTATTATCAATTACATCGAAAAAACAATTATTGTCACGAATTAAACTCCACTCATCATTATTAATTACTCACTATTTCTTCTTCTTCTTCTCCCTGCTCATTTCCCAATCACTTGGGGTCGGCGCAGTAAAACTTCTGTACTGCTGATAGGATTTGACCCTCCTTTGGAATGTTATTGTCTCTCTTTATCTGGATGGTATCACGGAAGTCTTGTATTTATTATGTATGCACTTTCGATTTTGTTGTCTTTTAAAACATTTTTTATACTGTTACTTCAATTTTTAATGTTATTTTCAGATATATTTTAAAATAAATTTTGATTACACAATAAATTTTGTTTTGACATTGTCAATTTTTTTCTAAAAATCACTATTTATTCAAAAAAAATCAAAGAATCCAGTGATTTCTTTAATTTTATTTAACTAAAACTTTCTGTTTATATGTTAAAGTTTAATTCTAAGTTAACTAATGTACAGCACAAAAAAAACGATAAAGTGAATATTTACTAAACAAAAATGGGAATACAGTTCGCATAGGTGACGACACGTTTGGCTCAGTTTGTAGTAACCCTACTTGCTGTGCCAGCGGTCGCGTGTTCGAGTCCCGCTGGGGGCTTTCATTTGTGTGATGAGCACCAATGTTTGTACTCCAGTCATGGGTGCTTATATTTATAATATGTATGTATTAAAAATTATATATATGTACTGTATCAACTATCTGGTATCCATAACACGAGCCCCGTAGCTTACCATGGAACTAGATGGTGCTGTGTTAATGTCCCAACATATTTATTATTTATTTATAGGTAATAATTATTGACTTTAATCTGTAATTTGGCACTATAATGTTCGATTACAATTTACTTTTTTTGATTTTTTTAACAATTTTAAAATAAAGTCTATTAATAAAGTCGATCGAGTGAGTGAATCGATATGAGGGTTTAAAATGAGTTAAGAATAACTTTGTTGGTGTGTGTTTTGGTAACACACTATGGATATTTTTAAGTTCAATTAACCCTCAGTAAGGCTCGCAAAAAAATACATAAGTGATCGCGTGGGACATGCACCCACATTGTAACAGTAAGCAAAGCGAGACTATTCCTACTGCTACTTACTATATCATTTTAATTTTTTAATATTCTTTATGGTTATACATGATGTTCTCCTAGCCGATTCCGGCCACGGCGGCCAATCTCAATGAGATCAGCCAACTGCGCAGGAGATATTATAGTGCTCAAGTGTACGCGCAGACACAAGTGCACTCTCTATTCCTATCACTCTCATACTCCGGTGGGACGACCACTCGACACGACTGGTGAGAGTTAAGGCGCAGGACCGACGGCTTTACGTGCTCTCCGAGGCACGGGGGTAAAACACCGCCAACTTCCCAACTCCGGGCTGTTACTGAGACTTACTATACAGGAAGACTCAATAACTAAACTTGGCCCGGGACTCGAACCCAGGACCTCCGGGTGTGCAGCCGTACATGCTAGCCACTACACCACCGGGGCAGTTACCATGGTATAGCATGGTTATACATAGTATAATAATAGCAGCTATACTGCCTCGGCCTATATCGTTGCTAGCCTACAATATTTTAAGATAGCAATATCTAATAGGTAAATACGTATTTTACCTATCGAAATATGTTAGATTTGCTTTGCTTTTGCTTGCTGGCAACGACTTCGAAAATATCTGATTAGATAGATGAAAACCTCCGTTTAGTTATTTTTTACATTTTAGTGCCTGGAAGTCAGATTTTATTTTTTGTTAAAAAGTTTTTATGGAATTATTTGAAATCATTTTTGTAAAATAGTGGGTAGGCACTGTTTGTAACAAGTATATACCGCCTTTGAGACGTCCTATAATCTTAGTCTCTCCCGTGACCATGATTGCTGTAAAGCATTCGAAACGTCAGGAACCGAAAATCAAAATAAATCCGCGAAATAATCCGAAAAGATAGTTTTATTTTTTTCATATTTCTTCTCAGCTCTATTGTCTCTCGTCTGTCTTGGCTCCGAAATTCAACTGATTCTCCATACAAACTTTCATCCCTATTTTCACCCCCTTAAGGGAGGATTTCCGGGATAAAAACTGTCCTATGTCCTTTCCAGGGCTTCAAACTATTTTTATACTAAATTTCGGTTTAGTAGTTTCGGAGCTTATTCGGTACAAGAAAACAAAAAAACCTTTCCTTATAATAATGTTAATATAGATAAAGCATGCTTCAGACGTGCCATTTTTAATTTATTGTTTTTGTTGTCCGTCGTTCTGTTGTAAGGTCCATTACGCGACACTATTAATGCTATAGAGTTGCA